TTGTAAAGCTAAGCCCCTCTGGTTTTCAGAACCAAATGATACGGGGCTTTGTCCTCCTAGTGTGGGTACCCTGCACCTGGGGTGCCTGGTTGGAATCTACTCCTCTCCCTTCTCCAAGCCTGTGTGTCCCTCCCTCCCATGGACAGTGTCATGCGTCAGTTTGTTTCCTAACTGCACCTTTGCCCTTCCTACCATTTTTTTGTTTTTTTGTTTTTTGTTTTTTTTAATGTGGCTTCTTCTCTACCTTTAGCTGTGGAGAGTCTGTTCTGCCAGTTTTTTGGTCATTTTCTGGGTTCTTTACATGGATATGGGTGTTATCTAGGAGTATCCAAGGGACAAGGTGAGCTTAGGATCCTCCTACCCTGCCATCTTCCCTGGAAGTCCCTGGCTTATCTCTAGTTTTAGTGATTACAGATAATACTGATGTAAATATCCTTGTGCATGTCTTTTGGTACATGTGTGTTTTCAGAAAGTTGTCAGTAACTAATTTAAAATTGAGTTGTTGTACATTTGATTTCACTGGGCACCCAGCTCAAAGATTGTGAGATGGTTAGTAGAAGATGGGCACTAGGATTTATAAAGTCCAGTATTATGCTTCTGCAAAATTATTCATGTTCATTTTAACCAACTCCAGGATAATGACCAGGAAAGGCTGGAAATTAGGGATTGAAATGGAAAAACTATCTTCTGTGTCTTGTTTGGGATTTTCTTCTTTAAGTTAAGGGGGAGAGAAAATAGGATTTCAGGAAGACAAAGTCATGTTAACACGAGCCATATCCTTCATCATGGGATAAGGAACTATGGGGCCAAGGGGAAAGGCTTACCCAGAGTCCCCGCTTGGGACCTGGCACCCTGGAATTCTTGTCCAAATGGACTCAAGTCCATTTACAGGCCCTACCAAGTGCCAACCACACAGTGGCATGGGTACCACTAGACCCTGACATGGGGCAACTCTTTTTGGGGAGTGTGGGTGGAACATGGACACTGTGGCGGGAGTGTCCACGTGTGTGCACACATGGCCCTCGTGCTGTGGGATGAGAACAGAAAGGAGAAGGAGAAGGTGCATGCCACAGTGCAGGGCCAACTCACCTGTGCTGCCATGTCCTGGTGTAGGACTCCGAATTTGAACCTGACCTTTCAAGTTCCTATGAGGCTTGATTGATTCATTGATTGATTGATTTATCAAGATAGGAGGCTAGAACATATCTTATTTAGGGGTCTGTGGGCTTGACTTATAACTCTTAAATACTTAAATATATGACATGTGGACTTCCATTTTTACCTTTGCCTAAAGCTCTGCAAATATTAGATTGTAGACCCACTAAAGAAAGAAAGGTAAAAAGACCTTAATGCCTAATTTGCAATACTCCACCCATAAAATCATTCTAGGAAATACTTTGGGCATGGGACATTAAGTTTCAGAGTAACTTGAAAGAAATAGTCTATTCAAACCCAGGGAGGGGCGTCTGGTTTGCTCAGTTGGTTAAATATCTGAGTCTAGATTTTGGCTCAGGTCAGGATCTCAGGGTCATGAGAGTGAGCCCCATGTTGGGCGCTGTTCTGGGAGTGGAGCCTTATTCCTCCCTTTGCTCCAGCCCTCTTCCCCTACTCTAAAACAAATCAACAAACAAACTCACGGATAAAACCAGGCCAAATTATATGCTGACTACACCTAGATTTTTTGTCCTTGAATTTTTTTCTTAGCTGTTTTTATAAAGTGATGTTTTTATTTTAAAAGAGTATATTAGTGTTGAAAAAGGGATTGGGTTACTCCGTTTGGACTGCTATAACAAAATACCACAGACTGGGTGGCTTATAAACAATAAATTGATTGTTCAGTTCTGGAGGCTGTGAAGTCCAAGTTCAAAGCCTCCAGTATGCTCATCATTGTGAGGCTCCCCTTCCTGGTTCTTAGCTGGCACTTTCTCACTGTGTCCTCACATGGTGGAAGGGGCAAGAGAGTTGTGTGGGGAATCCTTTATAGGGTCACTAACCCATTTATGAGGGCTCCACCCTCATGACCTAAGTACCTCCCAAAGGCCCCACCTTCGACTACTATCCTCTTTGGGGCTTAGGATTTCAATATAAGAATTAGGGGGGATACAAACACTCAGACTATAGCAGTCATTAATTTCTCCTAGTTAATTTTGCTTGCAGAAATCTAGCTGTTCAGGTCACAAGGCTGTGTCCAAGGTACAACTGACTATTTTATGATATTGTGTATATATATATTTTAACAATAAAAGGTACTCTTGTACATGCACTGGTTTACTGTAAAGACAGATTAATTTGGCACATTCTGGAGCACCATGGAGAAAAGCACATGTTCTGGAATCAGATTGCCTGGGTTTGAATCCTGGCTCTGCTACTAACTAGCCTTACGAGCTGTGTGATCTTGGGTACATTTCTTAACCTTCCTGTGCTATAGTTTACTTCTCTGTAGAATGAGGTGATAATTGTGCTCATATGAAAAGATTGTCATGAAGCCTAAATGAGATGATGTAGAGAGAGTTTAGAACAGTGTCTGGTACATACTTAATACTTAATGACAGCCTTTATTCTAATTCTAATTAGAATTAGTAATTCTAGGGCGCCTGGGTGGCTCAGTTGGTTAAGCGACTGCCTTCAGCTCAGGTCATGATCCTGGAGTCCCTGGATCGAGTCCCGCATCGGGCTCCCTGCT